GGAACCGACCCGGTCTGACTGTACTGTGCGACTAGATGGCAACAGGCCAAGAGTTTCCGATGTCACTTCAGTCTGAGGGTGCCCCTTTTCAGTTTGGTTTTGTGGAGTTTCAAGCTCACTAAAATGGGGCGGACTGAGTAAATGAGTTCATGCAGTGTATACTATCCATTTGACCTTGAACTCCCAGACTTGATTTTCGGTGTTGTGTCTATCCGTAGGCACCCTCTTGGCCCGAGGCTGTTGCTTGTTTCAGGAAAAGAATCCTCCGCCACCATCCTATCGGACATCACTCGATGTGCTTTCGCGCGTCAATGCTGCGAGCTACATTGAATCATGCTGGGATCGGTTTAGCGATCTTGGAGGCCACGTTAGGCGCTCAGGGGCCATCTTGGAGCCATACAGGGCCATCCTGGACGCTCCAGCCCCTCAGGAAAAGCCCCCGCCAGACCCTCGAGGAGGGGGCAGGGTGAGGGGACCCCCTCCTCGAATGGGAAGAAGAAGGGGCTCCTCAGATCGAGCTCGTTAGACCACTCACGCCCAGAGGGCTGGTCGGATTACGGCCCCTGTCGTTACGATCTCATCCATGGTATTCCGCATGGCTTCCTTTCTAGTTTTTTTCGAGTATTGCCTAGATTACAGAGCTCTCACCAATAGTCTAAAGATCTGCTTAGGACCCCCTGTCGCCAAATTTACGTGCTCTGCATGCTCGGGGCCTCCCCCGGCGCCCGCCGCGCCGGCCGTTGCGGCCCCCCTCCCCGCGGCGTGCTTCAGCTCCCGCCGCACACCGCGCTGGCCTGCCCCGCTCATCACCGCCCTAGCCCTAGCCCTAGCCGCCGCCTCCCGGCCCCCCCCGCGCTCGGGCGCCTCCGGTCCGCTGGCGGCCCGCCGCCCCCGCCCCCCAACTTGTTGTGCCCTGCCCGCACTGCGGCTGCTGGCCCCGCCCCGTGGTGCGCGCGCGACGCCGCCCCGCGCCGCTGCCAGGGGCTGCCCCGCGGCCTGGCCGCCCCGAGCGCCTCCCGCGGCGCTGCCGCGTGAGTGCGCCCTCCCTCTCTCTCCCTTTTCTGCGGCCGCCTCGTTTCTTGTGTTCCCGCCTTTGCATGCGGGGCAGTTTGCAACGCCGTAGCCCGGATTGCTCAACGCGCGAGCGGATCGCCTGTGCGGCGCCGCGACAGGAACATGTTCGGGGCAACCTGGCCGACTCTCGCGGGCCCGTCCTGGCGCAGCTTGACAGAACTGGTCGGGGCGGTGTTCAAGAAGGGTTCCGCAGCCCGGATTGGACGAGTAACTGCAAAACTCCTTTGTTTGCATCTGCGTTGTCGCGCATAATTGCGTTGCCCCCTTTCATCCTCCCTCTGCTCCCCGTTTTCCTCCCTCTTGATTTCTCCTGCTCCACCCCTTCATGTTCCTCCCGTCTCGAGTCCTGGTCGTCGAGAGCTGGATGCGTCCGAGTTTTTGCCCAAAAAGGGGTTTTGTTTCGTTATGTTGCGTTCCTCTTCCTGTCCGTCCTGCTTTGCTCGCCCGTCTGCAGGTGGGAGGGGTGCTTGTGCACTCAACTCAGTCGGCAATTCTCATGGATCTGGTGTTCGAAATGTGCGATCTTGGGCAGCTGCGCTGCTACAGGGGGTGGTAAGCTCCATCAACTTGACTCTGAAAGTCCTGTTAGTGTGGGCTTCGACTGGTGGAAGAGGCTTCGGGACGAGGCTAATTGCCAGCCCCCGATTTTTTCGGCCAATCTCTGGCCTTTGGGAGACCCTATCAGGTCGACTAGACGACTGGACGCAAGAGTGACCTTTCACCGGAGTTGCTTGTGGTGCGGGCCCAATAGGGTCCCCCGATCGCTGAGCGCGAAGCGGTGGCAGCGGCTTGCGCGCCCAGGTTTGACCAACCCGCGTCCCCCGTTAAGTCGCTCACCAAATGTCACTCTTGCCAAGCGTCACTGCTGCCTGTACCCAAGTCGAAATGTGCCCCTCACGTGGAGCCCGACCCCCCCCAACTCGAAATGTGGCTCTTCGGGTTTGTTTGGGGTTGTCCGGTAGGTGGTTAATCGGACCCCTCCAGACTCGCTCCCAGAGGCGAAGTTAAAGGCACAGGGAAGGGGCTCGGTCACAGGCCCGCGGCCCGTCGAACTGCCGCAGCTGCGCCCCCTGTTGGCGGGCCGACCCTCCTGCCCCTCCTCCGCTGCTGAACTAGCACCAGTGGCCACGAAGAAAAAGATGGAGGAGGGAGGGTAAAGAGGAGCAAGGGGGGGAGGAGGACAAGCAAAGAGAGAGAACGAGGAGAGTGAGAGAGAGGGGGATGCTGATGCTGATGCTGATAATGCTGATGATGATGATGATGATGATGATGATGATGATGATGACAATGGCGATGATGCTCATGATGCTGATGATGTTGATGATGCTGATGACGATGATGATGATGGTGATGGTGACGGTGATGGTGATGCTGATGCTGATGCTGATGTTGATGGTGATGGCTACGATGATGATGATGATGATGATGATGATGATGATGAGGATGAGGATGATGATGAGGATGAGGATGATGATGATGATGATGATGATGATGATGATGATGTTGATGGTGATGGTGACGGTGATGATGATGACGATGACGATGACGATGATGATGCTGCTGATGTTGATGATGTTGATGGTGCTGATGATGCTGAGGATGCTGATCTTGATGCTGATTATGATGCTGATGTTGCTGATTGTGATGATGCTGATGATGATGGGGAAAGGAGGACAAGCGAAGAAGGAGAGAGAGAAGAGTGAGAGGGAGAGGGAGATGCTGATGCTGGTGCTTATGATGATGCCGATGACGATACTGATAGCGATGATGACGATGATGATGATGATGACGATGACGATGACGATGACGATGATGATGTTGCTGATGTTGATGCTGATGTTGATGGTGATGGCTACGATGATGATGATGATGATGATGATGAGGATGAGGATGATGATGAGGATGAGGATGATGATGATGATGATGATGATGATGATGATGATGATGATGTTGATGGTGATGGTGACGGTGATGATGATGACGATGACGATGACGATGATGATGCTGCTGATGTTGATGATGTTGATGGTGCTGATGATGCTGAGGATGCTGATCTTGATGCTGATTATGATGCTGATGTTGCTGATTGTGATGATGCTGATGATGGTGGGGAAAGGAGGACAAGCGAAGAAGGAGAGAGAGAAGAGTGAGAGGGAGAGGGAGATGCTGATGCTGGTGCTTATGATGATGCCGATGACGATACTGATAGCGATGATGACGATGATGATGATGATGACGATGACGATGACGATGACGATGATGATGTTGCTGATGTTGATGATGATGCTGATGATGTTGCTGATGCTGATGCTGCTGAGGGTGCTGATCCTGATGCTGATTATGATGCTGATGTTGCTGATGGTGATGATGCTGATGATGATGATGGGGACAGGATGACAAGCGAAGAAGGAGAGAGAGAAGAGTGAAAGGGAGAGGGAGATGCTGATGCTGGTGCTGATGATGATGAAGATGACGATAATGGTAGTGATGATGATGATGATGATGATGATGATGATGATGATGACGATGATGATGATGATGATGCTGATGATGATGATGATGATAACGATGACGATACTGATGATGCTGCTGATAATGGTGATGGTGATGATGATGATGCTGCTGCTGATGATGAGCGAACATGACGATGATGATGCTAATTATGAGGATACTGATGATGCTACTGCTGATGATGCTTATGATGATGATGATGATGATGATGATGATGGTGGTGAAGATGATGATGAAGCTTATGATGACGATGACATTGCTGATTATAATGATGATGCTGACGATGATGCTGACGATGCTGCTGATGCTGATGCTGCTGATGATGATACTGCTGCTGATGAGGATGATGAAGATAACAGCGATGCTGATGATGATGATGGTGATGGTGCTTGTGCTGGTGATATGGATGCTGATGATGCCGACGATGCTGTTGATGTTGATGCTGATGATGATGATGATGGTGATGCTGCTGCTGCTGATGATGATGCTTGTGCTGCTGATGATGATGATGCTGATGCTATTGCTGATTATGTCGATGATGTTTATGATGATGATGCTGATGATGATTATGATGATGTTGATGTTGTTGATGATGATGATGATGATGATGATGATATTGCTGATTATGATGATGATGCTGACGATGATGCTGACGATGCTGCTGATGCTGATGCCGTTGCTGATGATCTTGTTGTTGTTGATGATGATTATGATGATGATAATGATGATGACGATGATGATGATGATGATGATGATGTTGTTGCTGATGATGATGACGATGAGGATGATGACGATGATGACGATGATGATGACGATGATGATGCTGATGCTGTTGATGATGATGATGGTGATGGTTCTGGTGCTGGTGCTGGTGACGATGATGATGATGATGCTGCTGATGATGATGATGAAGTTGATGATGATGATGATGATGCTGATGATGATGATGATGATGATGATGATGATGATGATGATGGTGGTGGTGGTGGTGGTGGTGGTTGTGATGATGATGATGATGATGATGATGATGATGATGATGATGATGACGATGCTGATGATGATGATGATGATGATGCTGCTGCTGCTGATGATGATGATGAGGAGGAGGAGGAGGAAAAGGGAGGATTGAGGACTCAGGATGGAGGATGGAGGATGCACGATGCAGGATGCAGGATGCAGGTGGAGGGTGGATGATGGAGGATGGAGGATGGAGGGAGGAGGGAGGAGGGCAAAGAAAAGGAGGAGGGAGAGCGAAGAGGAGGCCGATGACAAGGAGGAGAAAGAACAGGAGGGAAAGGATGCTGGAACCAGGAACACGAGGCTGAGGCTGGAGGACGTCGGCGCCGCCCGTCTCCACCCCTCCCCCGCGCGCCGTCCCCCAGCCGAGCACCCCCTCCTCCGCTGCGCGGCGGGAGGCGCTCGGGAACCATCCAGCCTTCGAAGGCGCTATCGAGGCGTTGCGCTGGGCGCTGGCGGCTGCCCGTTGCCAGGTTGAGGAGGAGGAGGAGGAGGTGGAGAGAAAAGAGAGGAAGGGGAGGGGAGAGGAGGACGGGACAGGAGACTGGAAGAAGAGGAGTCTAGGGAAGAGAGAGAGAGAGAGAGAGAGGGCGAGAGAGAGAGAGATAGAGGGGAGGATGACGAGGCGGAACAGGAAACGGTGTGTCCCAGGACACCTTTTTTCTCGAATCCCAGACAGGTGACCCATTCTGTGTAGTGTACATTCCCAGCCGGAGCCCAGGCGTGCACACACACGGTCAATTACATTGCTTCTCGTGTCTTGTGCCGCGACCGTAAGGACGGCTGAGGAGCCCACCTGGCGTCGCAGGGAACGCGAGCGCAGAGCTCGAGCCAGGCTCCTTCGAGAGCACTGGGGTTGCTGAAAGTGTGGAAGGTTTGTCAAGGCACACCACTGGCGTTGCTTGTGCGGGTAAAGCGGCGGTTTCTACTAGAGAGACGAGCGTGCACAGCAAGGTGGTCCATTCGCGCAGGCACAAGCAGTACGATCCAAACCACAACGTCGAGAACCGAGTCGCCCGCATGCTCCGACCAATGAGATGCAGGCAGTCAAGCACATCATCATGCGTACCATCCCAGCGTCCAGAGCAGATGCGATGTGTCATTCGTGCTTCGTGAAACCGCCTACTGACACCAAGGAACCCAATCTACCTATTCAAGGCCAAGCTTGCGCCGCTCATGATTGCGGCAAAAAAAAGACTAGCAAATAGTGTGCAGATGTCCAGACGAAGCTTGCTGTATTCAGGATGATCCACTCCAACACCGAAACATTCACCCGCCAGCTCAATGCCTTGAACACCAGTCAGGATAAGGCACTCGAGAGGCTCAATAATATCAAGAACAGAGTCGCCGACCTCATCGATAGAGCAGTTGGTAGACGACGAGCTTGCCAAGGTCAGAGCGAACATCACAGAGTTAGAAGACCTCGAGGCACAGCAAAGAGATGCCGTGGACGACGTAAGTGATCAGCTCCCAGATCAGCATAATCTGTTTTCGCCGAGGGCTATGGAAACGAAAGCGTCTGTGACGAGGCAGCACCCAGCATGTGCAGCCCATCCTCCAGCAGTGCCTCCTCCAGCAACACCACTACCAGAAGGAGTGGCGCCCTGACCACCACTGTACTTGGGCCCAGGTAGCACCCAACAAGTGCCACCATTGCCGCCCTTCATGCCGACCACGGGCCTTGGCATGAATGCAACCAGCTACATGATGCATGGAGTGATGGAGGTTCAGAAGCAACAGCAGGTGCGGTAGGACAAACATATGCAAGGCGGGGTTTAATACCGTGGAGGCTGCTACATCAGTGGCGGCGACTCCCTGCTGCCATCAAGATGCCAGTGCCAGGACTACGCCCCGTTGCTGCCAGTTCGCCAGCGAAGAGATCGCCCGCGTCGCCCCCCCACCACGTGGAGCTCAGGCCGGTCCACCGAGTCTGGACCCTGACCCTGTCGATCCGCGTGAGGGGTGCCAGCGGATTTTAGAAATGTGGCAAATCCCATGTGTTTTTGGACCCTGACTTTGCCGATCTGCGTGAGGGGTATCAGCAAATTTAGCAAATTACACATGTGGCAAATCCCATATGTTTCTGGACCCTGACCCCGCCGATCTGCGTGAGAGGTGCCACCGAATTTCAGAAATGTAGCAAATCCCTTGTGTTTTTGGACCCTGACCCCGCCGATCTGCGTGAGGGGTGTCAATTTTTTCCCACCCCAGCAATTCAGACAACACGCTCAGGGCGTGCTAAACCTGCCCGTTTGGGCCTCCCCCCCTCGCGCGGTCCATCAACAAGGAACAGTAAGCAGCAAGAAGCAAAACTGTAACAGTGGAAACTGGAAGCTGCAACTGGTACAGGAAACTGCGAACCTTCGGCCTACAGCCTGGTGGCCCCACAAGGGGGCCGGCGGATATATATATATATATATATATATATATATATATATATATATGGTAACAAGCGTATGCTGCGTCCCACGGCGAAGTTGCCGCACTTGATGGACATCTGTGGCCATCTCGCTCAAGCTCGCGCATGCGGCCATCTGTGGCCGCATGCTTGCCGCGGCGTCCGCGGCGGCTGGCGCGCTGTTCCCGGAGGTTGGCCGTGGGCTCAGCACCGGGCTGGCGCTGTACGCCGCCAACCAGGGGCAGCAGTGCCCGGCGTGCACCTGCGCGCCGCAACTGCAGTGCCCTGAGTTACGTTGCGACTGCTCCGGCCTGCAGGGGTCGAGCACCCAGGGGCCAGGCCCCTGGTCGGTGGCGCTCGCCTGCGCCGCCAGCGGGCTCGTGGGGGCCTGCAGCGCGGCGCTGGCCTGCTGGCGCCTGAGCGGCCGCTCCCTCGGGCCGCGCGGTGCCGCGCCGGCCACGGACGGGGAGGGGGACTTCCGGGAGCAGGCGCGGGCCCAGGCGCGCGTCGCTCGCGCTAAGGCCCTGCAGTGCTGATGGCGGCGCCGGCACCTCCGGCGTACCCATCGGTCGCTGGCTCTGGCGTCCAGCCTGGGGACTTCATCGGCGTGCAGTACAACATCGGCGGCGCGGCGCTCATCCACGAGCGGCTCGTGGTGCTGGTGCCGCCAAGTCGGCCCGACAGCGCGAGCATCCTCACACCGGACGACGACGAGTACGAGAAGTACGTGGGCTCGGCGGACGTGCTGAGGTGGGACGTCTTCCCTGGGGGCGCTGCTGGCGGCGTGATGCCGTGGGCGCTGGGGGCCGCTGCTATAGGTTCCACAGCCTGCCGACGCCAGCGACCATCCTGGCTGCCGCGGCCGCCGCGGCGGGTCGGCTCGGGCTCCCCGCTCCTCCAGGGCCCATCGTGGCCAACGCGGGTGGGCGGGCGCTCGACGTGCCTGCCGCCGCGCCGCTGGGCGCGCTGGTGCCGCCGGCCGTGCGCCCCGCTGCCGCCCCGGCCAGCTGCTGGCGTGGACGGGCTGGTGGCCGCCCTGGGCGGGCCTGCGGCGGCGCGGGGGGCCCCCCTGCCGCTCCTGCCGCCCGCTGCGGCGCCGCCGGGTGGCGCGCCTCCGCCGGCCCCCGCGCCCGCGCCCATGCTGGCGCTTGTGGCCCCGCCGCCTGGCGCGGCTGCGGCCGCCGCTGCCCCCGCGGCCCTCGCCGACGTCCGCGTGCATCCCGTGGTGCACAACGCCCTCGGCTCCAGGCGCATCGGCTTCGGCGACGCGGTGGAGCGCATGGTGGAGCACCAGTGGCCAGACTGGCCGATCTCCGGCCCACGTACGACGCTGTGGTTCTGCCAGTTCATGAAGGACAACGGGCTGTCGCCCCTCGGACGCCACGGCAAGTGGAGGTCAGAGGGCCGCCTCGCCCTCGCCGACGGCGGCGTGGCCGAGCACGAGCGCTGCCGCTCGTACCTCGAGCAGATGGTGCGCTTCGACGAGTTGAACGTCCCGGACGTCGCGGCGGCGGAGATGATCTGCCGGAGCATCCAGGTGCAGGAGGAGAGGTGGCGCGAGCGGTTCGTCTCGAGTGCCGACGAGTCGCTGGACTCGCACTTGTCCTACGGCACCTCGACGAACCGTGGCCACGTGCGCGTGCGCCCCCAGCTGCTGGCCCACGTCGGCGCCGAGCTGTCCAAGGAGTACGCCGTGGCGAAGGAGAGACGCAATGCGAGGGGGGAGCGGCAGTCCGCCCACGCGCCAGGCAACATGGACAACAAGGGCAACAAGGGCAAGGACAAGGACGAGTCAAAGGGGTGAAGGAGAGCGCGCGGCAGGACTTGAGGCCACTTGCTGCGCTGAAGCGCGAGCACCAGGCCCTTTTTCGCGGCGACTCCGCCGCCCCTGGTGACCATCGTCATCGGGATCTTTTTTTGCTACCTCATGTGGCTCGACGGACCGTGTGTGTTGCCGATCGCCGCCCCTGCCGCGCAGTGCGTCAGCGGTCCCGCCGCTCCGCTGTGCTGCTGCAGTGGGCTGACCATGGCGTGGGTGCTCTCGACCGTCTGTGTGGCCGCGCTGGTGCACCTCCGTCGGCGCCAGAGAACCTGGGACAGCAGACCTGCCTGAAGTTTTTGGAGGACTGCTACCTGGGCATGGGTGCGATGCCGAGCGAGCCAGGTTTTTGTGAAGAAGCCCTCCGCGAGCTCCTCAGCGGCTCCGCCGTCTACTCGGATGACGGCGGCGCCCGGGTCCCGTGCTCCAAGGAGCTAGTCTCCTGGCCTGAGGTGGGTTCCAGCCCCGCTGACCTTCTGGGCTGCCTTACTCGGGATGATGCTGACTGGGCGCGGGATTGGCGACATAATCTGCTCGAGACGCCCGGCGAGGCGCTGGAGGGGGCCCGACAAGCTTGCCCGCGTGGACCCTTTGTTGACCCTCGGTTGGCACGGGGCCCAGTTCTGCATGGCGAGTTTGTTCGGCGTCTTCATCAATGTGGCATGCTGCGCTTCAAGGTGGCCTCCGCTGACAAGCGCATGATAGGTGTATTTTTTTTGCGGGGAAGAAGTCCGGGAAACTTCGCATCGTGTTCGACGCGAGGTACGCCGGCGCCTTCTTCCACTCGGCACCCCCGACGCAGCCCCCTACGGCGGCTGCGGTGTCGTCGGTGGAGTCGGGCGCCTCGCCGCTGTGCGTGGCGAGCGGTGACCTCGACAATGCCTTCTACCGCCTCTGGCCCATGTCGGGCCTCGAGGACTACTTCGCTCTGCCCGAGCTGTCCTCCACGCTCGCCGGCATCACCGAGCTCGACGGCGTCGTCTTGCCGGCGGGTACGAGCCTGGTGCCGTGCCTCACCATGCTGCCCATGGGGTGGTCGTGGGCGATGCACTTCTGCCAGGCCGTGACCATGCGGGCGGTCTCGGTGGCGGGCTTTTCGGACTCCCAGATCGTGGAGGGCGGCCGGGCGAGCGTGCCCTTGCACCCCCTCCGCCACCGCCGCCGCTGGCTACGTGGACAACTTCTACATCTGCGGCCACGACCCGTCGCTGGTAACGCGC